GGTCCCTGTGGGTCCAGGGTCAGGGTCAGAAGGCCATAGGCTGCTCTGCAGGACATGGGAACCATATAAGGCACTCCGGAGCAATGTGAACAGGTCTGCCTATGGAAAGATCTGTCTCAGGCAGCATTCAGAGGGAGCGAGAGAAGTGTGGACAAGGCAGGAGGAAGGAGACCCTTTAATAAGCCCAAGACCACATAAAATGAGTTATTTGATTGTCTCAGAACAAAGTGTGAAAGTGAGATTAAGACTCCCATTTTCTTTGGCTCATGTCACCTCCCAGAGCTGAAGGCCTTTTCCCAGGAGGACCAACTAGGATCAAGGACCAGGCATCCTCCTGCAGGGAGCATTGGCCCTGCATAAACAGGTGTTAGCCTGATACTGCCATTAGAAAGGAGGCAATCAAGAGGTTATAAAATCCTGGGGGCCATAAACCAGTGAAGAGGGAATTTTGGGGTTTGGAGATAACACCCCATAAGCTGAAAATGAAACTGGGAGAGCCATGGGTCTAGGCCACTTCCCTTCCTGCAAATTGTAGCCTCATGTGTGACGTGCAGGAGGAGCCAAAGTGGTGCCTCCAGGGAGGCTGAGCTTATAGACATCCAACTCACCCAGTTTCTTTCCCACCCATCATGAGCCTGCTGAAGTGAAAAGGTGATTCTGCCAGAAATACATGAGTCACCAGAATCCTCTCCATTGGGTGGATCTACAGCTTCCTCCCTGCAAAGTCATGGTTCTCATCCCGGTTTGCCTGGACTGTCCCAACCTAGCACAGCAAGTCCCACGTCCTGAGAAACCAGGACAGTTGGCCACCTTGGTCTTAACCTTGCCTGTACTTTGGAATTTCCTAAGAGGTTGAAAGGCAGAGAAGACCAAGTCCCAGCCCAGGGCTTCTGACTTACCTGGGGTGTGGCCTGGGCATTGGGAGTTTTCAAGATCCCTGGGGATTTGAATGTCCACCGGATTTGAGAACCCCTGCTACAAAGTTCTCTGACAGCACAGTTGGTGCTAAGCAGGCCCACAGGATGCCCTGGGGTCCAGCTTCTCAGTGTGCTTGCTGAACACTACATGAGGAGACGAGTCTAGATTTCCCATTAGGACAAGCAAATGACATCTGCTCATTCCAGTCAAAAATCACTGGTGATGTCCTCCTGCCCCTGCCAGCAGATGCTGTGTTGGTTCTGCTCCTTAGTACCTCCTCTCCTTCCCTCCCTATACAGCAGGCAGAGCAGCTGGGAACACAGCCATTTGGGGAAAGCAGAGAACCTGGCTGACCCTCTTCTTATAAAAATGCAAGTGCATGCACAGTCTTACCTTCAGAATCAGGGGTTCAAAGACCCAGGGACCTAGGGAAAAAGCTCCTGCCCTCATGCACAGCAAGAAAACTCGTCCCAAAAGCCTGGAGCTTTAGTCCAGAAGTTGTCAGGGTGGAAACATTTCTCCTAGCCTGTACCCTCTCAAAGGAAGAAGCAAGCTGTTTTGTAACATTGTGATACATTTTCTAAAACAAAGGAAGCATGTTCAGGGATCATATGTTAAACCTTGGTGTCCAGTCTGTATGGAGCATGTAAACAGCAGTGCTGCCTCACAGAGCTTCTGTGACATGCAGATGCTAAGTAGCATAACTGAAAGAAGCCTGATTATCAATGAGGCTTTCTCTCCTTACTGTTTCTGACACATCTCAGCTGATAGTGTCTCTAACACAACAAAATTCCTGGGTTCTGTTGAACAATCACCTTAGAACTAAACAAAACTACAGATCAAAGTCCCGCAGCTATGATAGCAAACAGAGGAGAGTGACTCCCAAGCAGACACTTGGGGCTCTGGGGATGAGAGCGCCAGTGCTGTGTGTGCTGAGAACCCACAGACAGGTGTGAGGCAGTGGTCTGTAGAGTTGAGCCAAAGCTTAGGTTAAGATTTCCCACTGCTCTGCCTTCTTCACAAAGGCCACCAGAGAAACCAGGAGCATGCACTTGGGGGCCAATGCCACTTGGGGGATTTGAAGGGAGATGATCTTCAAACAATTAAAAAAAAACTGGTGTAGCAATACTTATACCATACAAAATAGACTTTAAAACAAAGGCTATATATAACAAGAGACAAAGAAGGACCCAGTAATCCCACTTCTGCGATTTATCTGAAGAAACCCAAAACGCTAATTTGAGGAGGCATGTGCATTCATATGTTCATTGCAGCATTGTTTACAATGGCCAAGATGAGGAGGCAGCCTGGGTACCTGTCGATGGATGAATGGATAAAGAGGAGGTGGTACATATATACAATGGAATATTGCTTGGCCATAGGAGGGAATGGCTTCTTGCCATCTGCTGCAGCATGGATAGACCTGAAGCATATTGTACTGAGTGGAGTATGTCAGACAGAGAAAGGCAGGTGCAATGTGATTTTGCTTGTATGTGGAATCTAAAGAACAAAGTAAACAAACAAACAAAACAGAATGAAACTTGTAGATATAGAGAATATTTTGATGTTTGCCAGATGGGAGGGGGTTTGGGTGGGGTGAGTGGAAATGAGAAAGGGATTATAAAGTACAAATTGTAGTTACAAAAGAGCTATGGGGATGTAAAATAAAACATAGAAAATATAGTCAATAATATGGTAATAACTATGTATAGTGCCAGGTGAGTACTAGATTAGTCAGGGGGATCGCTTCTCAAATTATATAAATATCTAATCACTATGCTGTACACCTGAAATTAATAGAAAATAATATTTAATGTCAACTGTAATTGAAAATTTTTAAAAGGTGAAGGGAAATAAAATGTTCAAATTTCCAGGTATAAAACAAATATGTCATGGGGATATAATGTACAGCATAGAGAATATAGTCAGTAATGTTGTGATAGCATGGTATAGTGTCAGATGATTGCCGGACTTATCATGGTGATCACTTCTTTAAGTATATAAATGTTGAATAACTATGGTGTAGCAGGAAGCTAATATAATATCAGCTATACATCAGCTATATTTTAATAAAAATGTTTAGTGAGTTCCTGCCATCCTCCCAGAGCATGAGCCCAGGCTTCAGACAGAACACATGAACAAGTGAGATGTGGACCTGTCTCTGGAGTTCACCATCGAGCAAGGAAGGCAACCAGTAAAGGGCATTATTAAAATGCATGAACTCTGATGAGATAGGTCAGGTCTCTGAGACACAGGAGGCCCGTTAGTAGCCTGAGTCCAGGGGTAAGGAATGTGAAGTGGCCACCCTGACTTTCTCTCTGTATCTCTGCATTGCTCCTGTAGCAGAATCCAGTGATGGTGAAAGGACAGTGCTAATGGCAGAGATAGCAGCAAATTACATTCTAATGGAGGTGGCTGCTTGGCTAAGGACAGGCATTTACAGTGAATTATGTTCTAGGACCTTAGAGTGTGGGAGTGCTGCTAGATAAAATTAAACTCAGCTAATTAAGACTTAATTAATTAATTAACTAATTAATTAATTCTGTCCTAGGAGGCTTCCCATTCTGCATTCCCTTTAGCCCTCCCTGCTTCATTAAAAATTGGTGGTGGTTAGTTTCCAAACTCATTTCCAAGCCAAAAAGAAGGTGGGGCAGAGGGGAAGGAAGGCATAGAAACTGGCCTTTGAGATCCAGAAATTGGGGAAAAGAGAGGGAGGCTACAGAGCAGACCAGAGTCCCTTCTCAACCCAACACAGCTTCAGACCCCATAAGATTGGGTCAGGACCACAGAGGATGGAAAATCACTTCGTGAGTCCTCTTGGAGTCTCACTCTTTGCGGTCCATTGCAAAGGCCTTGGTGTTTTTAGTTTGAGTAAAAAAACATACTGATTCCCATACCTGCCCACAATGTAGAAATACTATTGGTGACATGTGGGTATGGGATCTGGCCAGAATCTGGTTCCTAGAGATGTCCAGAGTGAGTTAGGACATTCTACTAGGGCAGTAGGCTCTGCCTTTATCTGACCACCCACGTGGGGTTATTGCCCTCAGCATCACATGGCACTCCTGGAAGTTATGCACCCTGGCAGCCTCTGCCCTCATCTGTCAGATAAGCCATCGTTTTACTAGGTACTCCCGCCATGATGGTCACAGCTGAATCACACAAGGATCTCCACTGCTTTTTTCTAATTTCATTTGTAGAGTGAGACAAAAAAGGGAGGGGTTTAGGGTGGGCATATGGGTCTGCCAGAAAATGCCAAATTAGATACAGCATCCAAAATCTGCTCATTCTTGCCACCGCATGACCCCAAGAAACATGAATCTTATTAAATCAATGCCTTGTTATGTAATTGAGCATCCTGAAATCTAGGTATTGGCCTTACATCAAATCATTCTATTGATGGATGAATTGTACTAGCTATGAAAGAAGGGCGATAGTCAGGAAAGCGTAACTCCAGGGCCACCAGCTGAAGAGTAAAGCCTTAAGTGTCCTGCAGTTGGCTTAATGATCTCATGCCACAGTTTCTTCTCTGGGAAATGAGAACCATAATATCTTTCCCCACACTCCTACTATATTGTAAAGATTAAGTAAGATAAGTATGAACATAGTTTTAAAAAATTAGTGCTGTTCAAATGAAAGGAAGCATCATTTTGGGTAGAAAGAAGGCCACTGGAGGTGTAATATCTATACCATCCCTGGCGTACTGGTATGCTAGCCTCCAAGCCCCACACTGGTGGTGCTCAGCTGGGCTACCGCCAACCATGGGTGTTTCCTTGGGACTCTTTTGTCTTGTGTGTGTGTGTGTGTGTGTGTGTGTGTGTGTGTGTGTGCGCGCGCGCGCGCTTTGAGTGCCTTGTAGTGGGGAAGCAGTAATAAGCAACAGCCACCCATTCCTTCACTGCCCGTTAGAACTGTTGTCAACAGCTGAAAGCATGCACAGTTCCCCTTGGCAAGACCTTTTTCCCTGGAGTAAGTTAAGTTCAAGATTGAAAGGGAGCCAGAGACGAGCCCTACACTCACTTCATTTGTTCTGACTTGCTCATCTTGACTTTCTTCTCCCCCCTTCCTTTCCAACTCTACAGACGAACAAAGCCGTGGCCAAAGGGGACTTCCACCAGGCCGGCACCAGCTCCCGGCGGGCCCTGTTCCTGGCTGTGCTCTCCATCACAATCGGAACTGGCATCTATGTGGGTGTGGCTGTAGCCCTCATTGCCTACCTCTCCAAGAACAACCACTTATGAGCTTCCTCTGGGTACACAGGGGAAGAAAGAACCTGGGGGCAGTTGCGTGTGGATGCAGAGAAATCAGGACTGGCAAGAGAGACTCATATGTGTAACACTGTATAGTATAAATTATTGCCAAACAGCTCCATAACAACCTGAAATTTTCTACCCATGGATTTCCTTGGTTTTTGCCCTTTAATTTAATGTTCACAGCACTGTGTAGAGCTCGAGACAAATGGGCACTGCTAACCTTTCAAAGTGGAAGCTCCAAAGATCCTGACCCACGAGACAATCTCTGGATGGTTTCTGGTGGATTAATGACAGTGTGGCTCTCTCTGCGGTCTGCCAGTGCCTGGAATACCATAGTATTAAGCAGTATACAAATAGTAACAATGTGTTTATCTTTTATGGAGTATGGTGCAATAGGGAGAAGGCAGGGGACATGCCTTCTGTCTGTTGCCCTGGTTGACTCCTCTGGCATTCCCCCAGTCCACTTGCCTTCCCTGAGCAGGAAGAGAGACAATACTGCTAGCACGACCCATGTTGTCACTGGTCTTCAAATAGGTCCAGCCTTGAGCATACAAAGCCAGAATAGCATGGGACCTGTCCCCAGGCCCAGTCTTTTATTCCTTCCACACTGTCCCCAGCCTAGTAACATCCACTCTTCCTTGGAACATGTCCAAATTCAGCAGCCACCACACAGCAATCTGCAATCTTGGGCCTCATTGATCTGGGGGTGGGGAGCAGGCCACAGTCTTTCCCTAAAACTCCTCCCAGAAAGACACCAAGGTTTGCTCCAGGAACTCAAAGCAAAGGAGCTTTAAGGATACTCCCTCAGCATAAAGAGTTGGCACTCACCTTGGTGATAAGTAGTGGCACTAGTGATTTTAGAAGGATATGACCATTCTCTGTCAGCTAAATCAACAGTTATTTTCTTGTCATTTTTTTAAGTGCAACTATCGCTTCATGCTGCTTAAGTTATTAGATGAATGCTGAGAAATAAGTAATCACAGACATTTTAATATCATTTCTCTGCTGGTTCACGAGTGTTCATTATTCAACAAAAATTATTTTTTAGCTTTTTTGCTTAAGACTTTTCTTTCTGAATAATAACAATTTTGGGGTTTCACTTATAGTTTTTATTTGTTTAAATAATTGCAGAGCCACCCAGGACTCAGCTGCTGAAACAGTAGTAGGGTCTCCTAAGATGAAAATTAAATCATCTCTGGCTGTTTGAGTTCCACCTTGAATACTGTTAATAAGTATTATTATCCTGATACTTTTGGTGGATGCCTAGATCATCTCTCTAGGAGAGATTCCACCCCAGCATTTATAGAATTCCTGCTGCCTGGGTCCCAGCTCCAAATTCCTGGTTTGATTGATCAGAGGTACAGCCTCATGGTTCCAGTGTGTGGCACAAGTTCAGAACCACTGTTCTGAAGAAAGAACTCAAGTTTGATCTCCCTCACCCTTGACCTTAAAAACTTAATATTTTGAAAATTATTGTCACTGCCTTCCTGGGTCAAGTCTAAGATTCTCTATCATTTGGCTCTAATGGATGCTTCAAAAACATACTCCAAAAAGAATATATGGAAGAAGCCCAAATGTCCCTGCAAGAGTCAGAGTAATCTGGAGATAGCATGGATTTGGGATCAAATCAACCTGGATTTGAATCCAGTTGTGCTACTTTCTAGCTCTGTGTCCCTGAGTAGATGGGTTTATTTCTCTGAACCTCACCTTTAGAAGTGGATAATAAATGAGGCCCACTTCCTAGGACTTCTGCTGAGTGTATGGACACAGAGCCCAGTCCCTGGCATGGGTCATGTGAGAAACATGGGGTGGTCACCATTATTCCCAGTGTTCAGGTAGTTATCCCACGACTTGTTTGTGTCCTCCCATCTTTTCAGTGCTATCTCTCAGAGTTTATTCATCAGGAGCCATTGTGTGAAATGGACTTATTTGTACTTGTCCTAAAACAGTTCATTTTAAGTTCAAGAGGTGCCCAAAGTGTCATGTTTTTGGATTTGGTTAAGAAGTGGAACCAACCCTGTGTATCCCGCCCCACCATCTCAACCACCACATCATGGTTGCTCTACACTAGCCCCTCTGTGCCCAGGTATCCTGCCTCCTGCTAGACCAACCTCCCATTCTCTCTCAGCCCCTGACTATGCAGATGAAAAAAGCCTCCATTTAAAATATGAGGTATGATAAAAAAATACAGTGAATGTTTAAATAAAAAATTTATTAAAGTAAAAGACATTGTCATTAATCCCCCTCGCTTTGGACACACTTATCCCATCATTCTTGCCTCTTTCTGAAGCAGTTCTGGAAGTCTTTCATGAGTGTCTTTAGTTGCGCTGTCATGGCTGCCTCAATGTCCTGAATCAATTCAAAACCTTTACCTTTCATGGTCATTTTGACTTTGGGGAAGAGCCAGGAGTCACATGATGCCAGATCCGCTGAATAAGGTGGATGAGGAAACACTAATGTTTTTATTTGACAGGCATTGCCATACCAGAAGCGATGTATGACACGGAGCATTGTCATGGAGAATGAGTCCATTTGCCCATTTCTCAGGCTGTTTTTTTTTTTTGGTTTTTTTTTTTTTAATTGGGGAATTGGGGGATGGGAACAGCGCTGGGGAATTGGGGGAAGGGGAACAGACAAGTTGCTGTTGTTTTGTTCTTCAGTCTAGTTGTGGAGGGCGTTGCTTCTCTGGCCCAAGTTGGCACCATCATTGCGCTCTTCCTGGGCGAGGCAGATCAGTCGCCGGCTTCTGGACGGCCGCTCACAGCGGCTGCTGGACGCTCACGCTGGCTGCTGGCTACTCACGCTGGCTGCTGGCTACACATGGTAGCCCATGGCAACCCACTGCCACAGGGACTGCAGCCCACGCCGTCGCCGGTGACTCACGGCAGCCCAGCTCCAGGTTGAGCTGTTGTTCAGCATCTTAGCTGTAGAGGGCAGTGTCACTGGCCCTCATATGTGGGATCCGAACCGGGGCCCTCTGGCGTCCCAAGCCAGTTATTAACCATCGCGCCACTCGGCCGGCCCTCAGGCTGTTTTCTACATACAACATTTCTTAAACACTCATAAAGACAATAACGAATAAGGACGTCCAGAACTGCTTCAGAAAGTAGTGAGAATAGGGCCAGCCGAGTGGCTTAGTTGGTTAAGAGTTAGCTTAAGAGAGTGAGCTCTGAGCAACAGGGCCGCCGGTTTGATTCCCACATGGGCCAGTGATGCTGCGCCTGAGCTGAGCTGCTGCTGAGCTGCCAACAGGTGGAAGGATGGCTTATCTGGTGAGAGCACGTGCTCCTAACAACAAGACTGCCTGTTCGATGGTGAGCTATGCCCGCCCACAACTAAGACTGAACTTGGCACATTGAGCTGAGCTGCCGCCCAGATGGCTCAGTGGATAGAGCGTGTGCTCTTAACAACAAGGCTGCTGGTTCGACTCCTGCATGGGATGGTGGTTATGCCCATGTGCAACTAAAGTTGAACACAACAGCTGGGCTTAGAAGCCATGAGCTGCCAATGGGCAGCCAGATTGCGGCTGACACCCTCCACAACTAAGATTGAAGAACAACAACTTGGCTGGTACCCTTCCGAGTTTCCCAACACTGTTCCCCTCCCCTAATTCCCCAGTGGGGTGGGCGGGGGTAGAGAAAGAAGTTAAACACTCGACTTACAAATTGAATTTGGGAAGTATAAAATTAATTGCATTTATAATAAATATATTTTTTAAAAGTAGCAAGAATGATGGGATAAGTGTGTTCAAAGCAAGGAGGAGTATTTTGAGGGAGGATTAACTGCAATGTGTCTTTTACTGTAATATTTTTTCTAAAATTTAAACATTCACTGTAGTTTTTTATCACAACCTGTAGCTCAGTCCTGTCTGTACTTTATGAAGCTCTACCAAGTCCTTCCCAAAGACCATCACCAGAAGCACATGTAGTGCTATATGGTGTGGATTATCATGTGTGTGCTGTAGGGTCAGGACCAAACCTGTTAGGATAGCTGAATGAAGCACATGTGGCCCTACCACTCACTTAATAGGTAGACACAGTGCAGCCCAGTCCTGTGACCAATGGGGAACATGGTCATATGTCATCTCCAATGGCTCTGATCATGACTGCTGCACAGCACAGCAATCTTCTAAGTGTGCCAGAGCTGCCATGTGTCCCTAAATTCACATTATCATCATTGTCATTGAAGCCACCACGGATGAGACACCACCCTGCACAGGCCCTGCACGTTATGTAGTCCCAAGAATCCCAGCGGGTAGGTGACAGAACTGAGGTTTAGAGAAGGTAACTTGCCCAGCACCATGCAATTGGCAGCCGCAGAGCAACGAGGAAAGCCCCAGCCTGGCACCCCCTCCAGGCAGCAAAGCACTACTCGTGGAACTTGCTTTCTCGTCCCTCATTGTAGCATAGCCTGCCCTTCGGCAGCAGCTCATTCCATTCCTGTAAAAACTCTTTACTACAACTATTTTATTGATACAGACCCAGAGAACAGAGGTAATTTTCACCTAGGTCATGCACCTGGGAAACAGCAAAGTCAAGATGCATCCCAGACCATTGGATCCTAAACCCCCTCAACTTCCTTTTACACTGTGCTGCTCAGCTGTGGCTTTTACAAGCAAGAAAAGTTGCACGTGAGCCCAGACCCCACTGTTGCTGTGTCAAGACTCTTAGGGACCCGAAAGGTATTTTGGTTTATGTTTCACAGCATGTCTGCCAGCTGGTGGTGGGAGCAATGCAGGGAGAAGGGTGGAAGACCTGAGGTGACTACCATGGAAAATATCTCAGCAGAAACTGGTTAGAGCTTATCTCATTTCTGTGCACAGTGCTCTCCCTTCTTTATCCTTAGAGGCATTCATGACGAACCTATCTCTATCTGCCACAAGGTTCTTCCCTGCCCCTGCTTCAACAGGCATCCTCCCTTCACTTCACCAGGCATGCTCACTTTACCAGTCATCCTCACTTCACTTCACCAAGTGTCCTCACTTCACGAGGTGTTCCCCTCTTCATCAGGTGTCCCCCCCACTTTACCAGGTACCTCAAGTTTCACCAGGTGTTTCCACTTGCCCAGATATTCCAGCTCTTCCCAATGAACTACAATAGGACCATGATGAGAAAGGCCTCATCTGTAGGTCACTGTGCTATCAGCAGCTGCCCAAGATGCCACAGACAGTTGGTCCACATAACTAACTGGCAACAGGGCCCTGACAATAGGCCCAACCTCTTCAAACATGGGGAGTACATTTCTCACCCTTAGCCAGTTACCTGGAACCTCTCAAGATGTTAGAGGTCTCCCTCATTTACAGCAGCCTCTGGGTTTAAAATGCATTAATGGAGGAGCCTTCCCATTTGCCAACAACTACAGCTCCCAGATATGTACATGTCAAATATTCACCAAGCCATGACCAAAGCTGCCTAAAGCCCCTGGCCTGAGTTTCAGGGCCTCACCCCTGAGGTGTTTTTTGTTTGTTTGTTTGTTTAAAGTTGTTGACAATTGTCAGTAAAGTTACATAGGTTTCAGGTGTACAATTCTGTAACACATCACCTATATATCACATTGTGTGTTCACCACCCAGAGTCAGTTCTCCTTCTATCACCATATAATTGATCCCTTTTACCCTCATCTACCATCCTCCTCCCCCCTTACCCTCTGGTAACCACTAAACTATTGTCTGTGTCTATGAGTTTTGTTTCTTCATTTGTTTTTCTTGTTCTTTTGTTTTTAGTTTTATATCCCACATATCAGTGAAATTATGTGTTTCTCGATTTTTATTGTCTGACTTATTTCATTTTTGTATGTTAATTTCGTAGCCAGCTACTTTAATTGCTTATTGTTTCTAATAGCTTTTCGGTGGAGTCTTCAAGGTTTTCTATATATAGCATCATGTCATCTGCAAAAAGTGACAATTTAACTTTTTCATTCCTTATTTGGATGCCTTTTATTCCTTTCTCTTGCCTGATTCCTCTGGCTGGAACTTCCAATACTATGTTGAAAAGTAGAGGTGATAGGGGACAGCCCTGTCGTGTTCCTGAACATAGAGTGAAAGGCTTCAGTTTTTCACCATTAATTATGATATTAGCTGAGGGTTCCTCATATATGACCATTATTATGTTAAAGTATTTTCCTTCTGTACCCATCTTACTAAGTGTTTTGATCATAAATGGATGTTACATCTTGTCAAGTGCTTTTTCTGCATCTATTGATATAACCATATGATTTTTGTCCGTTATTTTGTTTATGTGGTGTACCATATTGATCGATTTATGTACGTTGAACAATCTTTGTTCCCCTGGGATGAACCCCACTTGGTCGTGATGTATAATTTTTTTAATGTATTATTGCATTCGATTTGCTAGAATTTTGTTTAGGATTTTTGCATCTGTATTCATTAGAGATATTGTCTGAAATTTGTGTGTGTGTGTGTTATCCTTACCAGGTTTCGGTATCAGGGTAATGTTGGCCTCATACAATGAGTTAAAAAGTATTGTCTCTTCTTCGATTTTTTGGAAGAGTTTGAGTAGGACAGGTATTAGATCCTCTTTGAATGTTTGGTAGAGTTCACTAGTGAAGCCATCTGACCCTGGACTTTTGCTTTTGGGAAGGTTTTGGATGACTGATTCAATTTACTTATTGTTGATCAGTCTATTTAGATTTTCCATTTCTTCATGATTCAGCCTAGGAAGGCTATATGTTTCTAAGAACGTGTACATTTCTTCTAGGTTATTGAATTTGGTGGCATATAGTCCTTCATAGTATTCTTGGATGATCCTTTGTATTTCCGTGGCATCCATGGTAACTTCCCCTCTTTCATTTCTGGTTTTGTTTATTTGTGTCTATTGTCTTTTTATCTTAGTGAGTCTAGCCAAGGGTTTGTCAATTTTATTAATCTTTTCAAAGAACAGCTAGCTCTTTGTTACATTCATTTTTTCTATTGTCTTTTGGTTCTCTATTTTATTTAGTTCTGCTCTGATTTTTGTTATTCCCTTCCTTCTACTGACGTTGTTTTTCTTTTTCTGGTTCTTTAAGGTATAACATGAGGTTGTTTTTTGGAGATTTTTCTTCTTTTTTGAGATAGCTTATAATGATGTAAGTTTCCCTCTCAAAACTGTTTTGCTGCATTCCAAAAATTTTGGTAGAGTTTATTTTCATTCTCATTTGTTTCTATGTATGCTTTTTTGTTTTTTTTTAATT